CCACTGCATGCTCTTATGATAGCTCTAAAAATGGCGGAAACTTTTTACATCCTCCCCACTTGCAAATGTGCTCCCATGAGGGCACAGTATTAAACCCTAGTGTTCCTCATCCTTCTTATTCACATGAGAAAAGCTGTTAAATGACACAAAAGATTTTTTTTTTTCAGAAGTGCCTTAGGTGGGAGTAGTTGAAAACAAAGACTTGATTTGATTGCACAAACTTTTTCCTACCCAAATAGTTGACTTTGAAGTCGCTATGACTGTTGGCATGGGTCAAGATTGTGTTTAAAACAAAAAAAAAATCCCAAAACAAACAAAAACCACCTGTTTTTCGCCTCGATTTACTTAATCTGGTAACTACTTTTCTTTCTTTATTTATTTTTCTTTTGGGCCCTGGTCCTGAAAAGGTGTATGTGTGTGACTGTCTGTAAAGTTGTAAAGTCTGTAAAGATACCTGATTAATTTCTTAAATGTAGCTTTAGAATTTTAGAAACCTAAATTTTGACCCTGGCATTTTTGGCTATATATTTAATTTTAATGAGATAAAGATCTCCCTTCCAATATTGTATGCACACAGCTGTTAACAGTAGTGTTCACATACACCCAAGTGCAATTCAGACTGGCTGTATGTTCAGAATGAAGTCCCTGCACCTAGAAGTTTGTGCTGGGTAAACGTTTCTTAGATCTAGATTCATCAAGAAAGAAGCGCTAAGCATAGGTTGGGATTAGGCCAACTCACTCTGGTGTCTGGAAACCCATTCCTGTGTTTTGCAGATGTTCCACTCAATATGTCAAGGTGAACAGATTCTTAGATTGGAATAAACCCATGAGGGTTTCTTTTTTGGGAGGGAGGGATTGAACTTGGGGAGTCTGTTTTGTAGCTATGTCTCTCTAGAATGGAATGGCATTGACATGGCAAGCACTATTGAGGGGAGGAGGGATGGCAGAAGTAGAAAAACTTGCACCTACGCTCTGTCACCAAGACTGACGAAGGCTTTTGCTTCTAATCTCTGTTTGGTCATTCCTCTGTCCCATTAGAGAAGTAGCTGAAGCACCACCAGTTGTTTTTCTGTTCTTAGTGTGCTGTCTGATGCGTGATCAGCACTATGGAGACTTTATGTATCCAGATACATTGCTCCTAGTGCAAGGTTATTTTTTGGAGCTACATCTCTAGTTGAGAACTGTTCCCCTTTTTCTTTGCCTGTAAGCCTCCTCAGGTGCCTCAGATTCAGCTGTCTCCCTTTCTGATGGAGAGACAGAGAACAGAATGTTTTGGTCATTTTTAGTAGGCTTTGATATTGTGCATTCCTAGGATGTTTTTCTTGGTTGTGGGAACACACAGAACCTTTCATCGTGGTATGAAAAGATTGTGGGAAGACTCTAGCAGGGATCTAGAAAATCTTTGTAGTCTGTGTCGTCTTGGAAGAGAAAGAAAAGCAAGATTTTTTTTTTATACTGTCAGGAGAAGGTCACGTTTCTGTAACTTGTAGCTTACAGTTTGTGCCAATGATATTGTGAGTGAGAAAGAGAAAATGGCTCATGTGTTTCTTATCTGTCACATGCAGCAACATATTTTGTGTTCAGCATCTGCTGCTGGAGACAGATTTTTTTTTTTCAGAAGGGCTTTGCTAATAGAGGCAGTTGAGATGCTCAAGGTACATCTAAGTTGTGCAGTACAGGCGCTCAGAACAAGTTGTTATCTCTAATGGAGCAGGACAGTGCCCTGTGGAGATACTGGCCCATATCCCAGATCTAGGATATTTCTGCAACATCAAAGGGGCACCACTTGATTGGGAGCTAATGTGGGACTTGAATAGCTCTGGGCAGTGCTGCTGTGGGTGCTGGTGATGTCCTCCTAATGGTATAATTCAGAAGAGCTCTGTGACCAGCTTTCAGAGCTTCCTGATAATCTGCTTCTATACTTTAACGTTGAAGTGGGGGAGAAGCTTTGTGAATGTGTGACCCTAGCGATATGTACAGACTTCTTTAAAAATTGCCCAGATATTTACTTTTATGTATGTATTTCTAACAAGTCATATTTGTAATGAAGAAACTTTACTTGAGTTCATTGTTGTTTCTTTGTATGATATAAGCAGTGTGCAGGTTTACACCAAGGCCTGTCTCCAGGCTCATCCCTGTCTCCAGGCTTTGGTCAATCTACAGCTATTAGAGATCAAAATGAAGCTACGTGTGAGTTAACTCATACTGGGCTCTTCTATAAACCAGCAAGTAGTGGGTGTAACTGTGCGCTGGATATTTGGGCGTGATGCAGGATGGCACTTAAGTTCCTTGAATGTGGTGCATGGCGTGGGACCTCTAGTGAGTGTGGCAGTGCACTATTTATGGGCATTGTACATTGGAATAAAATAAGCTATCGATTTGGTAGGCAGCTTAATTAGCCATTGGCATTCATTTGTTTTTCAGCATCCATATCTTGAAAGTAAATGCGTTTGCATAAAGATTTCTGGCATAAATTTTTGTGCATTCGCAGTGCACTTCCTCTTATTTCTCTCTCCCCTCTGCTTTAAAAAAAAAAAAAAAAAAATCCTGTCCCTCTGAGAGGGAGCAGAACACTATCCTGTGACCTGTGTGGCCAACTGAACTTCAGGAATAATGGATAGGTGAGGGAGGATGAACTAAATGTTGCTGTCTCTTTGTAGATAAGCAGCAAAATGGAGTAACTGGGTAAATTCATTGGCTTCCTAAAATTTGGGGTTTTTTTTTTTTTTTTTGACTGCAAGTTTCTGGATCAAGAGACTCTTCTAGCAGAGGACTGTGGAACTGTAAGATCTCTTTTCTTCTCCCTCCCACCCCTGCTTAAATTCTTTTCTTCTTCTGTTTTATCCTTTCCCCCTGATGGGAGCCTGACTCATGGGTGTGGGTTCAACCAGCCGTTACATTTTATTTGGAAAAATAGGCATCTCCAGCTGCCTTAGCCCAATTACAGCAACAAGCCCTGTAACTGAAAGGTGGGAACAGGCAATGAGCTGCGTAGAAGGAGGAGTAATGGTATATTGTAAGGAAAAACCTTCAGGTAGAAGGTGATGGAAGGGGGGCGAGATCTGCTGGAGCGTGATGTGTGCTCTCAGGAGAAGAGTCAGAAATCAGGTTGCTGAGTAAAATCAAAACTAGCCCTAGGCAAAATGTATGGGGGTGGGGAGGGCGTGAGTGAGGGAGATGTCCAATAGATTTACAGGTAGGAGTGAAACCAGGCTGATCAGAGTTTCTCATCTCCAGATTTTGTCATCTGTCTCCCTGATTTATGTTAAATAGGCCTGGAAATTGCAGGCAGCCACATGTCTAGCTCTGTGACAGCACCCGGGCCTTGCTGGCTGAAACACAGGAAGACTGAAGCACAAAGACTGTTTTCTCTTGTCTTTAGCAAGAACTGGTTGCTCTTGTCCATTGTTTTTGCTGTTGGTGATGTGATCTGAGAATCCATCTTCTTATAAACAGCCCTGGCTTTGTGCAGGATAAATTCTCCCCAGGTGTTGCAGCCTGTAGGTGCCTGAAGCCATCCTAGTTCTTGGGAACACCTTTTGGGGAGTGGAGGGAGTTTGGAGGGAGGAAGAGACAGGGCTCGAACCCTTGGATTTTCTCTCGGGCTCTCTTCCCCAGTCTCCACCTTCTCCTGGTCCCTCCTTCCTTTGTGTCTCTGAGCTGGGGTGGGATGACTAACTCTCTTGCCGAAACACTTTTTGGTGTCTCAGATACTTGTAAGCCCTCAGGAATACAGTTTTTGGAATTCTCCTTGTGGTTTTCTCTCCTCTGTGTCTGCTTGCAGCTTTCTCTGGAGCATTGCCAGCTCACCCTTGCTCTAATCCAGCCTATGTTGAAATCCTTACTCATGCCTTAATCACTTCCTGTCCCTGCTATTGTAGTTCCCCCTTCACAGCATCTGTAAGTCTTTGCTATGTTAATTCTCTTGAGTGCTGCATGCAGCAGACTGCCTCCTTCCTTGGCCTAGGAAGCAGACCTGGGTGTCCCCCCATCTTCTAAATATTCCTTGGGGCTCTCCCAGTTCTCTTTTGTCCTTAATGTCAGCCCTGTCCCCGACTCACTTTGCGGCCACCTTCTTCCAGCCACGTCCCAGTCTGCTTAGCCAGCCAACCTTAGTTTCCTTTTGGCTGACAGTCTCAATTTTTTTGATTGTTTCTCTTTGTCATCAGCAATATTTTTGCTCTTTTTTTTAAGTCACTTAGTCATTTCCTTTCTTCTATTTTTCTTTTTTTGCTTTAAAACTTTTTGCTTGAGGAGTTGTATGCTTATTAATGCAATATGCTCGCAAGGAATTTGGCGGTTTTATTCCCTTTGCCTACCAGGAGAGGACTGGCATAGGGAAGCGTTATGCGGCTTCGCTAAGGAGCTGTTGGTAAAGCCACGCTTAGATTTCAGAAAGCTGTTTTTCAATCTTATTGCAAATCCATAGGATCAGATGTCCTTTTTCTGCAGAAAGGTTTTGGATTTGTTTTTAATGAAGGGAGCTGAAAGCCCCCTCTCAGACACTGGCTCCGTCTTGCTCCTGTCCGTTTGAAAAGGCTACCCTGAGGTCTCGTGAAAATGGGGACCACGCAATAAAACTCAAGTGATAAGGGTCATAGCGTGCCTTTGAAGGCCATGGCAGTGCTTTCATAGAGCAGCAAAACTGGATCTTGACCGATGCATGAACTGAACCTTTAGAGTTAAAATCAAATCAACAATTTTAGTCGCTTAAATCCTAAATTGAGTTTAAATTCTTGTTTGGTGGTTATGGGGGGGTGTCGGCTTTGATCTGGAGTCAAAATAAGACTTCAGCATAGGAGAACAAGAATGTAACATTAAAATGGGAGACAAAGGAAACTTTGAAAGGAAACCTTGTTTTACAGTGCAGAAAAGAAAGATTAGGTTGGTTGCGAGACCCTCCTAGGGGTCTGACTGGAGAGCTAGGCACTGCTTTCTGGAGTCTGGTTCAGTGCTCTTCCAGCCAGTTCTGATTTCTTCCTGCTCTCCTCCTCTTCTAGGTCTCTGACGATGGAAGAAGGGGTCCACCATCGAGAAGCCTGAACGGTGATACCAGGACAGTTCTTTGACACTGGCAGTTACTGGCCTGAGATACAGGAGACGACAAACATGCTGAAGCCAAGTGGACTTAAAATCCCTGGCAGGGCAGGGAAGCACTCCAGCCCAGTGGGACGGGCATCAGGGACAGCTGCAGCTGCAGTCACCACTGGTTCAAAAGAAGGTAAGAACATGATTCAGCGGGGGCGTGAGCTGACCTGGGTGATTACCTGATTTAAAGGGAAAAGGTCCAACCGTGCCGGTGTTCAGTAGGGTGTGAAATTCCCCCTCTGTAAGTAGATTGATCATGAGCATGGATCAGAGCAAGTGTAATGGGGTGAATAAATGGCCTCTCTCTCCCAACTAGTACACAAAACAGACAGGTTGTAGAGTGGGTGGAAGACAGATGGATCCTCCCATCTTTATTTCTGACAGAGGGAGGTACTAACTCCTGCTTTGTTTGTGTGTGTGTGGTTGGTAGGGCAATTGGACCTGTCCACAACACATGGGTTTGTTAGATGCGTAGCACCTGACCCAAATATGGGTTGCACTGTGGTGTCCTTTTTGTGCAACTGCAAGACATTCAGGGAGAGAAGTGTGAATGTGTAGGCATTAACATTTGAAGGGCTGATGATAATTAGGTAAATGGGAACCTCACCAGTGACCATTTTAAACACCTTCCTTTAGCCATTGCTTCTGGCCTATGATGCAAGAATGAGAACCAGGCACTTAGTGATTTGTCCAGTGCTGATCATCTCAAATTAGTGCATTTGTTTGAACAGAATCATTTGAAGGACTGGGATATGAGTAATGATTCCTAGACACACGTGCTTTACTGTCTGTTGATCTATATCTAGTGTATGCATAAGCTATACAGACTACCAGTATGCAATATAATTAACTTTTCAAGAGTTCATGATGTATTCTGTCTAGGACTCACTTTTCTGGCTTCTTTGACTGCATGGTGTATTTTATTTTTAGGTAGATTATCACTTTGAAAAAAAGACTTTTCTCTTAGTTCTGGGAAGAGCATCAGGGTGAAGTATGTCCTGTCAATCACTTGTACGTTCCCTATACTACATTGGAAACTTTTTTTCTCTTGAACAGTGCTGACTTTCTCTTAATCTATGCTGTATCTCTACTGCTGTAATAATCTATGCCACTACCTGCATGCCTTATCTTGCTCTGTTTCATCCCCAATAATACATAGTATTTGGTAGAAGCAGAAAGGCCTTGTGTTGGCGTGGCAATATTTTTAGCAAAGGGATAACGCTGGACAAAGATTTCTTTTGTCACATTAAGACAAGTTAGTCTGTGATAATGATATTGCAAAAAAAGAGGGTCGCCATGTGATACTGTCCCCTGTGAGGGTAATGCAGAGGTCTTAAAATTATTTGGAGAGGGGGAAAAACCCTCTATGTCAAGTTTCCGTTGCACCGGGAAACGTGTGCTTGTCCCATGAACTCCTCCTTTGCTCTGGTTCAGGCGCTACCTCTACACAGGACATCCACATACAGACCCCTTCACTGCTGAATGACCTTGGCTGCGCTTCTTTATTATACGTTAGTAGCTCTGGCTTGCTCACGGGCTTCTGCAGCTGAGCTTTCTCCTCTTCTGGGACTAACAGTGTGTGTATCATCTCTTCTACTCTGTAAATTCTTTCCTTGCATGATCTTGTGAAAACCTTACATTTTAACTTGCTTTCTTGCACGTGTGTGAGTCTTTTTGAGGGGCCGGTCCCATGAGATCATGGGCCAAACTCCAAATTTTTCACTGTCAGACAGTGTTGTAGGGAGTGGAGCGTCAGTGATTCTTCCTCAGCTGAGAATTCAGCCTTAGATGTTGAGATAAGCATTTAAATTGAGCTCTTCTGTGTTTGAATAGCTTTCAATATTAGAAAGAGTCACTTGCTTAATTTAGCATCTAAATCAAAGATATTAAAAGCTTCCTTATCTCTGTGCTCGGAGGGAAGCCTAAATTGACAGAGGAAATCTAGGATTTAGGGTTGATAAGTTTGTTTATTTTGAATTCGTCTCCTAGTCCCGCTTCTGCACTTCCCTTTTGTTTCTCCTAACACCGAGCTGTGACTGAATGAACCTGAAGGACTCCAGTGAAGTGAGGTTTTAGCCACCAATTGCAAATCTCAGGGCCCTTCTTGCTGGATTTACAATCGCCTGTGTGGCATGGAGTTATTTGCAGGTGACTTTTATCCTAAATGAAACTGGGGGGAAAGATCCCAGGCCTGTCTTCCCTTCTGAGGCTTCGCGCGGAGGCGTTTTGGCAAACGCAGTCAGAGCATGTGTTGTGGGATGAAAGAGTTAGTCAATGCTGACAGTCAGCCCAGTGGTCCCATGCAGGCATTGAGCTGAATGCAGTGCTTGTTTGGAACTGCTTTGTGCCTTGTTCGGCCAACAGCCATCCGTCACTGTGATAGATGGTCAGAGAAGCCGGCCAAGCACAGGCAAAATCTGCACCCAAGCTGACTTTGACCTTTTCCTGAGAAGCTCTTAAACAAGTTTTATTCCTGGAAAAACAAACACGTGGAGAAAGGGAGGAAGTCTCAGGATGCTGGGTTGATACTGTGTGGCAGTCTGAGATGAGAAGGTGATGGAGGGAGAAGGTGTCGTGGTGGTCTGGTGTCTGTAGCTCCTGGAGCTCTCGAACTGCCTGTGATGTTGGCAGTTGTTCCTGTATCATGAGCTGTGATGCTGCTCCTCTGCAGATCTGCCCAGACAGCGCTCCGCGTTTTGAGGTGGTGCTGAGGGCTTTGCATAGCAACACAGGAGTGGCTGAGCTGCCAAAAGAGTCGCAGCACAGAACCGTCCCTGCCTGAGTGGTGGGGACAGAGCGCAACGGGACTGTTTACCCAAAGTATGCTCTGTCGAGGCCATCTCAAGATGGCCTTGACAGAGCTTGTAGCATCCTCCCTGGGCCTTGTTCTCCCCATGCGCCGCTTGCTTTTACAGCATCCTGCACAGCTGCTGTTCATGTGTGCGTGCATGGCTTGTACCTTCTCTCCCTCCTGCGGAGCACTTCAATGGCCTGGCCGGCCCCTCGCTGCCTCCCGTTCCTCTCCTTTCTGACAGTAGTCTAAAATGATGAGTCAAGTGTGCATCCCAAAATCCTGCTGACTGCCTGGGTGCTTCTCTCTGCTGAGAGCAGCGTGTCTGTGCTGGCCATAGGGCCCAGCCATAGCGCAAACGATAGAGGGCTT